TAGCTCTATGCTACTGGCCCATCCTCAGGGGAGTGGGGCGAATGCCAGCGTAGGGTTACTGGGAGCCAAGACGGCCCCAGGAGAACAAACTAAACCCAATGGTTGCATAATGTTTCTTGTCTCGGTTTCATGTTTGGGCCAGACGTTTTATTGTCAGACACATCATGTACTTGTCCATTGTTTTACATCGCTTATGTTTAGCTGTTTTGCCCAAAGTAATTAAAAAGAGAGTGTCTTAGCAAGGTGTCACGTCGTCACAAGGCTCCAGACCAGAGCCAATGGTTCCTGACCAAGTGTACAGTTGGGTTGAGATGGGTGACTGTACAATGTGAAGGCCATAGCGTATGATTTACACATCATGCCCTCTATGGAAGCATTTGCCTTTAATATCGTTCTTCACTTGGTTCCATTAGTTTATTTGGTAGGGAAAGTTGCCAATTAAGATTATTAATTAAGGGGTTGAGCAGAGGCCATTTTTCATGCATGACTTATTCATCGAGTTTCATGAGTGCACGTCGTCAGAAGCTATAAACACCAAACTGATGTGTATATTTCCGTTTGTGTCGGGCTGTGGTTTAACCCGAAATATAGATAACCTGCTTTTTTAGCAAACTCACAGCACCCATTGTGGTTTTAACATGCTTGCACAATACGCACATAGGTTGTGGTTCTGCTCACATTTTCACAACGGCTCACCACCAACGGAACTGCTGTAGCTGCAGTTCGGATTGTCACAGCCTCTCCTCCTTCCTGTTACAGTTCTATGAAAATTGACACTAAGTTAAAATGTTGGTTGTGTTGTCTCTCCTTTTGCTGACGGAAGTACATTCTTTTTTTTTACTATAACAACTTTTTACTTTTTTTACCCAGCAATAAAAAGCTCTACGTTCATTCGACCTCAAACTCAGTTTGTGGAAGAACCGGCCTTGTTTTTAGATTATTAGTGTAATATCCTTCGGCTCAATATATAGTGTCATTGTCAGCTGATGTGTGATGAATACCCGGACACGGCCTTGAACTAAAGTGCTAAATTATGTGCTTAAATCATTTTCATGCTCATATCGCCTCTAATTAGAATTGCTGCATGAACACGGCTATGTGCAGTCTCCACACTTTCTTAATTGGACATAGATCTGGAAATCTGTGATTAATTTTTAAGTTATGAAAGATGCTGGGCTGCTTTCAAAAAGGTCCTTTTGCAAGCACCACGAACAAAGGAGAATTCATTCTCATCAGGGCTTTGCATGGAGAAGGTGGAAAGCTTAAATGAAGGAAAGTGTCGTCATATGGCTTTTTTTAAATGAGATAGTCAAAGATAGATCTAATTTTGATTTGGGCTAATGCGAGGAACACTATCATCCATTGACCGAGGGTGTCTTATGACTGACTTTAGCGGTCTTGTGCTTTTACTCTGCAGTTTCAGTTCAGAGACCAGCCCGAGTGTAGCGACGGGGGTAATTCTAAAAGCTCCGGCACTTACCGTTTAGTTCATGAACCTCAGCGCTCCACCTTCCTCCTTTCCTTCAGCTCCTGGAAGCACAACTACATCAGTGTCTCCCAGAGAACGTCGAGCAAGTCTGCTGCTTCTGTTTACAAGCTATTCAATCACTCTCAGTACTTGTGGCAGCCTGATGTTCTTGGAAACACATAACAATCTGGAACTATCTGACTCGCCTATTTTACTTGCCTTGTCCTAGAGCTGGGACTACTTGTTTTTAGCATACTTAGCATGTAGTTAAGTATGCAAGGCTATAAGGATCTTTGCTGAGCTGTGTGGTGGCTTGTAGCACCCTAAAATAGCATCCATGTACAAAACATGTGTCATCGTGTATTTAATAAGTTTGCCCTCCCCACATCTCTTTCAGGCTTCCTCTTCCATTTTGGTCAACTCTCCTCCGATCTGTATATTTGCTCACCATATTCCTTACCTCTGTAATGAAGAGGCCGTTAGTTCATCAGCCATGTTTAAACAGCTCTGTTTGCAGTTTCCCGGCCGCAGGTCAACAAGCAGCTCCCCTATCTTGCTTGTTCGGTCTCTCGGGGCTCCCGGGTCTCCTCCTCCACCTCCTCGCTCGTCCTCATTTCGCTTGAACTAATTGAGATTTCATTTTTGTGAGAAAGCTCACAGGAGGGCTGTGTGAGGGGAGAGAGGAGCTTACAGATTGAGATCAGTGGCGGAGGCCTCGGGGGCATAGCGCTCCCAGAGGTAGGACGCCACCAGTTTCTTGGGGGACGCTGAGGCCCTTCTGCAGAGACTAATATCTTCATGCTCTCAACAGTCACCTCTCACTCTTCAGGAATCCCGTCCACAAACCACATGCTAAGCTAAGCGCTAAATATGTCACCTGAGGTCAAGGTAGTGTCATTGCCGTGGAAACTGGTTACAAATACTGGAATTAGCAGGAATGATGTCCACCCACAGACTCTACCTTGGCCTCAACCATTATAGACCAATAGAACGTTTCCCAGTGCAAGATTAAAGCATGGTCAGGTCCCTCCTTCAGGCGTCCTAGGTTGTTGTAAGTTGAGATAAGCACGGTCCGAGCCGTAGCAGCCAATCGCACTGCTCAACGTCACTGCATTAGCACTCAATAATTCAAAGCTTGGCGGTAATGAGCTCCCTGTAGGCCCCGTCTCCAAGGAGCCTTCCCACTGAGCCTCCACTCTAATGTAGTTATATCTCATGTCAGCTTTCAAATCAATTACATTTCTATCTGATGGCTATGTAATTGCGCCTGATTGAGTTTTTGGCACGGCGGCAAAGTGTGTGGTTCCGACATTCAAGCCAGTCAAAACAGGAAGCTTTGTCAAATGAAACTATATTTCATCCTGATTGAGGCTGCTTGCACGATAAGCACAACTGTAATTATGCCAATAATAACCAAAGCAATCTGTGTTTTCTCAGCTTTGTTGTTTTTCCTGACCATGAACCATACTTGCTGTATTGCAGTTGATTGTCTGTAGCATGTGGAAATAGTTATTATATAGAAAGTTTTTTTCAGTTTCACGTTTGTAACTTGAACCATACCGATCTTTACCTGCGGTTAGATTTTGGGCCTCCGCCGACAGATGCCATAGTGTCTTTTGGCAAATGCCTAGAAATACCAAGCTAACCTCTTACCCACAGCAAGTTGCTGACAGCTGAGGCCAAAGCAATGTTGTTGCAGGTGTCAGATCTCAGAGCAGAATTCTATTGACCCAAGATTGGTTGAATTGATAGGTGGACGGACAGACGGATGGATTGAAAGATGAATGGAGAGACAAATGTCCACACGGCTGGGTAGATAGATGGATCAACTGAACGCATGCCTGGATGGACACAGGGAATGTCCTAATAGATTGGCATTGAGATGGATGAGGGGGAGGATGCTGTGGGTAGGTGCATCAGCAACTAAATAGTGATGATTTGTGGCTTCTGTCGGCAGCACTCAGTATAACAGACATAGGGAGGCAGCCTGGCTCACCCATTATCAGCAGATCGTCTTCATGCCTTCTTTGGAAATGGAGCACTGAGTGCATCTACCAATCTATCTTTCTATCCTAAATTCATCATCCCTTTCTTCTTTTATCCCGTTACTCTTGGTGTGGTTGCCCTTTAAATCTCTTCACTTGTACTATTCTCCCCTCATTTCTCTTCTTACTCCATCTCTCCCCCTCTCTCTCCCCCTCTCTCTCTCCTCTCTCTCTCTCTCTCTCTCTCTCCGACGCTGCCTTTTCTGTTAACAGCATTCTATTTTTTCTTTTTGCAGTGAGAGCCACTGGGTGCACATCTACAATCTTGCTTTTCATTTCATGGCTTCTGGAAATGGATGTTTTACTGCCTTCATTAAGACATGCAGCAGTCAGCGCCATGTTTTCCCTCCGAAGTTTAGCTCTTTGAACCGCGCCATTAGCAGACATTATGGCCCCAGATTTCAGCGCACAGTGGAACACTGTATAATTTGATTAGTGTTATTAATCAAGTGGAATACCAATCCCTCCGCCCCAATCTCCCTCCCCTCACCCTGCCGTTTGCCATTACAATACTGCTTTCAAACCCTTCAGATGTTTTCCCACCCGCCCCCACCCAGGCACCTCTCTATCTCGTGCACTACAAAACACGTGCAGTGAAAATGACAACTGGCCTAACGCCTTCCCTTTTAAAAACAGTGATTTACCACTTGTTTTGTTTCTCTCCCTTCACACACCCCATTCACCCCGCCTCACCCCTCCCCTCTCAGCCCAGGACATAAATCAATTGAGATGAAAGTTCCATAATTGTGCTTGCTGGGAGGGATTTGAGCAAAATTGCGCTATGAATTTTTTAAAGGGAATTTTTACTAGCAGTTCAGCGAGACTTGTGCGGCAAAGGAAGGTGAGGCTGTGAGGATTTATGGGCCTAGATTCTTCATTACTGAAGTAATTTTCCTGCAAATGATAGTGCAGCACACTGGAGGGGGAAGCCGTGGAGAGTACTAACCTGCTTAATCTCCATGAGGCCACCTCAGAGCTCTAATACCGGGTGTAAGGGACCGGGTCTTCACAACCGAACTGCAGTGTATTTGTGATTAATAGCCATTGCCTAGATTATTTTCAACTGTGGCTTTTCAAGTTGATTTCATTACAAAGACTTTTTTTGTGAGAAGTACTCAGAAACATGCTCCGGGGTTCTCAAAAATGTTATGTTTTGGAAGGTTTGGAAAGTGACCTGCGGTAGGTGTAGCCGTGGACTGCAGTAATTGAGGGATTATCTGTGCAAGACATTGTATTGTATCATAATAAAGTTAAGATGGTGATAAAGAAGAACAAGGCATTTCAGAAGAGTGACACAGTCTGTTTAATTTACTGTGATTACCACCCTCATCTATTGTCATCTATTGTGCACGGTGTATGTCCATATGGCTTTGCTTTGTTTGTTCAGCAAAGGTTTCCACCTTTCTCTCTACCTTTGGTCTTTCCCCCTTCCTCATTTTAACCTTCTTCAGTCCAATATGGCTGACGCTCTGTCTCCATCTCTTTAGGTGCAGCCAGCAGCAGTGGCCCTCCTCAAGGTTAGTGCGTCCACGATGCCCGGTCTCATTCTTCATCCTGCCTGCCGTCCTCTCAATTTTACAGCTCAGTAGCTTGAGAAGCAGAAGGGGTAAATCTGCTTCAAAAAAAAAGGAGAAGAGTGGAGGGGGGAGGAGGAAAGGAGAAACAAAATTATTGAGCACCCTGTCGCAGCCTGTAGGAGATCTCATTCAAGCCACACCAACAACCCAAGACAATTAGTCACTTCTCACAGACAGACCTGAGACTCACTTGAGGGCCAAAATGAGAGGACGCACAAGCATGGCTAAGCACTGCGGTCACAGGAGCCACTCAGTGGATGGGAAGGAACCTTCTGTGCAAAATACTTATCTCAGAAAAGGGTGATTCATATTTTCATTAGATTGATGTTACAACATTTCAAGATTCTCTTTTCTCAAAAATGATAAAATGACAGAGTAGATGTCTATATTAATCTTAATCTATTAGTAAATAATGTAATGTTTCTATTTAACATTCTTCTATATAAACAAAGACAGCAAAGAGCCCAAAGAGGAGGCCCAAAACGTCAGCTACCACATGCTACTGAACAACAGCAAAGCATGACTATGGTGGGTGGTGTGTGGAAGATTTGGCGAGTGGAGTGAGAGAAAAGTTTGTCCTGGGTTCTCTGTGGAGTCCCAGCATGACCAATTGAGGTGAAGGGGATGAATGAGGCCATTCACTGGGGTCTAATGAAAAGAGTTCCTGCTGGGCCCTGAATGAGGGTGGGCCCATCTGCACCACATAGGCGTGCACAAACCAGTGACCTCGAAAATTACCCAGGAAGCACTTTGGGACAGTCACCCCAGCAACAGGCTGGGGTTCACACAGCAACCGGGCGCTTCAATCAGTGCCTGGCAGCTTCTTCAACAGAGCAAAGTTTTTTCTTTGCATTCAAAGAACTCTGTGTGAAATCAACTCCCAGGGACACCTCCCACGGGGTTTTAAAAGGGTGGAGCTGCCAATGATTGTCCCATGTGAAAACGTCCAGAAGCTCTCACCATCTTTGAGAGGTGTGGGACGATGCCCTCAGGACTTTACCTCTCAACACAAGATCTGTTTGTCTTAGCTACCTATGAACATGCACTGCCTTCTTGCACATGGGTGTGGGTTAATTAGGTTCAGGGCATGGATAGTGACAGGTTTGGGAGGCTGTGCAATAGATCCAATTACAAAGAGTCCAGATAAGGATTTAGATTCCCTCGACACCTCTGGGGACTGGACCAAGTTTACAAGCAACTCAAAGGATCTGGTTCATTGGATTTTATCTATGCTATTTGGTATAATATATTCAGTCTTGACGAGGCAGAGGCACGCAGGTCATTGAAGTTCCATTCCCGTCTCCGCTCCCTCACGGAACTTTTGACAGCGTGAAATGACAATCCGCCCCTGCACGCATCCCCCACGTCAAAAAGTAATGAGATTGTGCTGCTGGAAATATCACTACAAAGCATCAGGCCTGCGCACGGGTCTGACTGCACCTTCAAACGGCGCTGCCTGCCAGCTCGCCTGCCTCGCCTGCGCGCTGAAAAAGAAACGAACAAAAACAATCAGAATCAGAGGGAGAGAAACGACAAGGGAAGCTCCCCACGCTGAGACAAACGAACACGCCAGGGCCTTTCATCCTGAGAGTGATTAGCCATCCGGAACGTTTTAAAACCCAGCTTTGAGTGTGTTCCTCAAACGAAAGAGTTCCATTGAGGAGTGGTGGTGGGACGTGTCTCGCTGGGAAGCGCCAGTGATCTAGTCTCTAATTGTGGCGCCGCTGACAAGACTGGTGTGGCTTGGAGCTTTTTAAGCACGGCTTTTTGCTGCGCTCTTGTTCCCTTCCTGTCAGATCCACCACCAAAGGGAACAAAAAGGCCCCTCAGATTCTCTTCTTACATCCATCTGCCTTTTGCTTTGTGCATAAATACAGGCCTAATTTAACACGCTAATAGACCCTGATAGTGCCTTAATGTGACTAAATCTACAATTGTTGCTGTAAATGGCGTGTTCGGTTGTAGATATCACCTACTGCTGTTTTAACTCTGGATAATTGCTTTCTTTATCCCTCTCCTATTCTTTCATATATCATCGATTGAAGTCTCAAGATGCAAAGTTGCCGACTCATCGGTATAGAAACATTGCCCTTCTTCGCGCAGCATAGTGGGAACAAAGTAATGTTCACGGTCTCTGAGCGACGCTCAGTACAACCGGTAGCAGCTTTCAAAATGTGCCACGTAAAGCAGCTTGGAACCTCGGCTCTTCAGAAGCCAGGTTGTTGTAGGCTTGAGGAGGCGGAGAGAGACGCAGTTTGAAGAACAAGAGAATCGGCCTAGATGGGTGAAAAGACGGGAGGGTTGGGAGGGGGAGAGAAGACAGGAAGGGAGTGAAACCCTAGCTCATAAAAATCCGTATTATAACAACATTAATTGATGCTGCTGAGTGCCATATGTGATGCCATATGGAAAGGCTGCCCCAGAGGCCTGCTATAATAGACAGCCCGCAGCGGTGCACACAACTTGGCACGTTTACCAACAAGGGACGTCCCATTAATATCAACCACGCGGTCCGAGCAGGCGACAGTGAGGGGTGAAGAGAGCGGGCCAGAAAACCAAGTGAGGGAAACAAAGTACCTCCCGTCTGGTTTTCCATCCACAGTTTTACTGTCTTTCCACTTGCCTCATGCTATAATCCTTACCTAATTAAAATATGTACCCTGTATGCATCCGAACATCTCTTTAAATACATTAATACATGTCGCCCCCTCCCCTCTGGGTTGATCAGACCGCCCTCTGTCCACCCAACTGTCACTCCCACCACATACCCAGAGGTCCTTTCATTGCTCTCACACACACACACACACACACACACACACTTCAGCAGGTTAGATGATTCATTGCAGCTTGACAAAGGTGGCGTGAATGAGCTCTGTTTAACCTCTGTTGGGCCTAATCGCAGGGCAGCTGTTATTTACTGCTGCTGTCCACACTCCCCACTGCCTGGTGGCTCGCACTCAGGGCTGCCCCGCCCTCACACGGCATCATATCTCATAAGACAGACTGGGTTCCACTGGGCATTCTGCAAGAATAAATTGACTGAAAATATCAGTTTGTGGCGAGTAAATCATACCATCATTTTCTAATCATTTAGAACCGGTTTAAAGGAATGAATCATTTTAATCTTGTACTTTTGTGTCACAGCTCCTAAAATGAAATGGACTGCTTGGGTCATAAATCCTCTTCAGACTGTATTATTTGCCAAGTACATGGAAGTAATCATTTTTTTCATGATACTGTAAAATGTATTTATTCTGTGTAAATTGCCAGACAAACACCTATCCTGTATATAGTCCAAAACCCAAAGTTATATTGTAAAAGTCTAGTGTTGGTTATGGCAGCAGAAATGGCATCAAGTTTAAATTCTTTGAAGTCCAGGAGTTCATCCTGTGCATATATTCTTTCTCCCACAATATGAATCGTGTGTGTGTGTGTGTGTGTGTGTGTGTGTGTGTGTGTGTGTGTGTGTGTGTGTGTGTGTGTGTGTGTGTGTGTGTGTGTCACTGACACATATTGGCCCCCACTGCCCCATGAAGCCTGGACACATCAGTTTAGCGCGGCACTTTCTGACTCTCATGACGTGCCCGCAGCGAGCAGAACCACAGATCCTTGTGAAACGAAGTTGTCAGCCGTTCTGTAGAGTTTCATACAATGTGAGGCGAAACAAGAATAGTGTACAGCTGTTTCCTCCCTGACACAGAGGGAGGCAGATGAAGAGCAAAAGAGAGAAAGAGGTGGGGGGGGTGGGGGTGGGGGGAGGCATCTCTCCGCTCTGTGATGTGCACTGATGTAGCTGCAGCTCCAGGTCAAACGCTGCCAGTGTTTTGTGTTCATCTTCGTCTCGTCTCCCCAGTGCTCCTCTAAATTATTCACAGCCTGAAGATGTGCAATGTGGCTGCCTCCTCCTTCGCCTCTCTCCTCCTTCCCCCTGCACTGCTCTCCGTCTGTGTTCCTCTGTTTCCCATCCCCTCCTCTGTCTCTCATGTGACTGCTTGTGTCGGAGGCAATGAACAGAAGTTTCTCCTTGCGAGCTGGTTAATCCCCCCCCCCCCCGGCCCACCCCTCCATCCCATTCCGTATCCACTCATCTACCATCAACCACCCACCTTTCATCACCGACTCCATCTCTCACACTCCTCCTTTCATCCCTGCTCTCCCCTCGCTTGCCTCTCCTGGCAGCCAGACTAGAGCCAGACGCTTCTTTTTCTTTTTTTCTAAAGGGGGGGGGGCTGCCAGCTGTTAGTATCAACTGCTTGGTATCGCTCCTACTCTCTCCAGTATCTCAGCAGCTCCCTCGCGCTCACTTCATAGGACCCACGATGTAGGGGTCGGGTTGACAAGCTGTTTTTATCCTCTGTTTCGGTTTTTCTCTCTCGTGTCAAGTCTTTAAAGACTTTGCACTCATCTTTTCCAGCCAAGTCGATGGTGCTGATTAAAGATTGGCCCCTCGTCATTTCCCCTTCGACAGACTGCCGGCCCTCTGAAGATGGAGGGAGCTCCTAGAAACCAAGGACATGGATGGACTAGACATTATTATTGTATACAGTGTAAGGCGATCACTGTTGGTCAGCCATAAAAGATTGAATCATACTGTTACTGAGGTATATATCCCTCTATTGTTTTTGGTTTTATCAGACTACCTTAATTTGTCAGATATTTTTATTTGCTGGGCTTTCCTTCTTGGTTATTTTACTCATAAATATGTATTATTTATTAACAGTATACATGTGTATTGAAAATTTGAGAAGACAGAGCGATAAAAAGAGGCCCAAGAGTCTTGCATCTGCATGTCGGGGGTTATAAACTGCCTGCTTTGGTACCAAATTACTATTGTCTTGTTAACTAGAAAGATGCAAGTATTAAATCCTGTCTGGACAGCGGGGTTTGGAGGACGAGGTGTGCCCCTCGTGACCACCTGAGTAGAGAGCAGGGCTGAAAGA